CAGCTAAAATGAACTTTTCAATGGTTGTCTAAAGTGTATTCATTCATCTGATCATCTAACTTGCCTCAATCTAACCTATAGGCTCACACCAAATAAGGAAATCAAGTAGATCAATAGAGAATTAGTAGAGAATGTTTAAAGCATCTGGTCCTTTTGATAAATTTAAACAGCGTGATGAGAAGACGAAGATTATCTGAAACATGTTGTGATGTATTAGCGCTATACATTTCGAACAATCTGATCACACATGGACTTGTCGAACTAGTTATGTGAAAATCTACAAAAAAGGTCAGTGAGGCTAATGGGAAACATAGGAATAAGAAGCGATAGAAAAAAAACCTTACTCTTGGTATGAAAATTAAAATCAATACTATCAATGTAGATTCAACGTGAGTACAAATTGTTTTTGTATACATAAAGGGGATTAAAATTTACGGATGGCAAGAGCTTCAATAAATTTAAGCACTCGGCTCTGACCACTTTTATGTAGTACTTTAAAGGCTGTTTTCATGTCTATCCTATGGTTAGTTTCTAGTTAATGTTTAGCGATAGACTTGAAATATTTCCAAATCCCCATAACTCCCTAAAAGTTATTGCCACAACCAACTAAAATACACTGAAAGTATTCGGTTAATCTTGCTGCTGAAGAATGCACTAGAAAGGTCATACGGCTTTGCCCGGTTAACCAAATAATTTGTCCCATATAGAAATTTTTGTAGAAAACTCATATTATGTAGATAACTTCAATCGTTAACTTATCAGTTTGAAACAGTGTTCAGGATCAACTCACACTATGGCATTGCAGTTTCTGTTAAAGACGAATCCCTTAAACCTCTAGGGATGGAACTAATAGTCTTTAGTTACCATGAGCAGTTTTTCCAAGATATGCTATTGAATGAAAATCTGTTTACCTTCATTTATACATAAATTACTGTGAAAAGTTCAACTACAATGTATTAAGAAAGCTAGGTAGTCATTCTTATCTCGAAGAAGTCTACAACTTCACTTGGAACAGTTATGTCCTATACTGCATTTAATGATTTATACTCCTTACACCTGATCTGTAGGCCATTCTCACAGCATTTGCAAATTAAAAAACCAATATGCAGTGGTGGGTGGTAGACTTTTATTTGAACTATGATGAAGGATTGAACTACTTCTTCAAAATTCAACTAAAAAATAGGTTTAAAATTGTTATTGAAATCCTATTATAATGATGCATGGTTCTTTTTCTTGAATCACATTAACAGAATTTGCAGGAGAGAAATAACTGTTTCAACGCAGAGAAACAAGGTCTTTCCTGTGACAGGAAACGTAAAATACCTTTGTCTTTTCTTGTCAATAATTCCAAAACGAACGAGACAAAAATTTAGTTTACTCAATGTTTAGTACTGCATTCACCGTGAAATTGCTGAGGAAGTAGTTTCATTTTGTCTGCAACCTACTTGTTTCATAACCTAAATAAGGTAACTTACTGAAATGACACGTGTTTAAGGTCATAATGGATCATGTTCAAGTAAATGTGATCCCACAAGAGGTAAATTATGTTGCGAAATCATAAATTGTCGACTGTGATTATGTTAAACAGGTCTTGGTATTGTTTTAGCCTAGATAGTTGGTCTTCTTTGGAAATACGGAACCAGTACTTTTACCATACTTCGAATGAACCAGCTGATTATCAAAGGAATAGCCTCGGCATTTCAGTTGTGTAAGTTTTGCAATTCCAGGCATCTTTGAGACGAGCTGATTCTTAAAGCAAAGTAAACTGCTATATAATGTTTAAAATACTTTAGTTAAACTAGAAAGATATTTAAGTCGACCTTTTCCACTAAGAATTAATTGATTTGTGCATTCCCTTATAATTTTACACCTGTAGATTCCTATTAAGTTGATTAACTAGGCGAATATACACGATAAGCATTACTGTCTTGATTGTACTGGTAATAATATTTGATTTAGATCTACTGATAGCTGGAAGCCTAAGCATCTGGGACAGTAGAAACAATTATGTAAGTAAAATTTCGTATTGTTATGTGTTGATCATTTTGATATCCTCTTGTTTATTCACTTCAAGATTTTAGACAGTGTTAAGAAATGGATAAATTAGAATGGTTATAAGGCAAGGAATCTGTCATGTCCTCTTAAATGAATTGTTAAGCCTATTAAACGTTAAACTGTTGTCATATTTAACAGTAGTGATTAACATTTTGTCAAGTTACTGATTACTTGTAATTTCTTCTAGCCCTTTACTCCGTCGCTACCATGTATACCAGTTTTTAAGTTAAATTTTGCCAATCAGACATTGTGATTGATGAATAACTATAGTCATCGATTATTCAGACATTTCTATTATAGGGGGAAATCGTGATCGTAGCTTGTGCCTGAATGTAATGTCATGCCGAACTGTAATTATTATTGTCATACGGTTTGGTTGGATAATAAGCTCACCAAGTTGAATCCACATTTGACCTGTTTTGCATGTAAATATCTTCAGATGAGGTGTACTATAATATCACTTTTACCGATGATTACTTTTTCTTATCTGAGAATTCATCTTGGACATATAAGTTAATAAACTCTTCCACTATACAGTGTAATGATATTTAGATCTCTGACAGGCAGATATACAACTTCATTTCAAACAGATTGATAACAGCCGGCAGTAGCGATGTTACTCTCTGTCGACAACCAAAAAGGGCTAGACAACAGGAGACTGATTATACTTAGCTAACCAACCAATGTACACAATCTAGTGCCATACGAGGCCAAACTTGGCCTGGCTAGCTCAGTGGTAACAACTATGACTGGAATACTGGGTGAAGTGGGTTAGAATCTCAGGCTATATATCGGTTATGTCAAAGTTGCAGATGCGCCTTGCTGACGAGTTCCAAAAAGCGCGAAACCTAAGTGCAGAAGGGCTTCTCACCGAATGCCTTCATTCACCTAACATTATCTGAAGGTTTTCATTTCAATTAAAATTATCACAACGTATTAGGAATACTAAGCTTCCAAACCAAAGCTATCTTAGATTGTCACATCAACACTTAATACGGCAATCTTCCTTTATAGTTCAGTTCGATTCAGATCTGGATGTGTAATCTGCCCAGACAGGTAGTGAAATTATGATGACCGGGGTGGTTATGCATCATGTAATCGCATAAAAACCAGACAAAATCCTTTGTAATTGAAGTAAAGACTTGTTCGGCTTTTTTCTCATAGCCCAGCTGGTACAACAATGGGCCAGTTATTCAAAACCTGCTTAGACCGAAGTTTCTGTTTCATTTACAATCATTATTCCTTATCAGTAATAGAGAGAATTAGGAAAAGCTGTTTAAGATATTAAGAATGACTGAATGTCATACTACCTGTTGAGCCTCGAATAATGTGTTCCACTAAAATTACTAAACCTTGTGGAAACCATCAATTACAAAGAATTCTTTAAGTAAACGAAGGTTTTAATCCATCTTCAGATGTCACATTCATAAATTAGAAGCGGTTTTGCTATCCCGGTCACATTTCTTATTATGTTGAGAAAAAATAAATGAATTTAAAATGGAATGCACTTCTTGAAGTGGTAAAGTCTCTATCAAATTACCCAACGCTTCAACGGTTTGTAATCAACATAAAATTTAAGTTATCTGAAGCTTCTGACTTTCACTTCAAATACCGCAGTCTGACTTAATCGCCAAGTAAAATATGGGTTTATTCAATGCCTTAGTGAATGATTTACAGAAGAATATAGACGATTTGGTAGACGTTTGAATACTCCCAGTGATCACAGTATCTTTTTTATCACAAAATTTAATTTTAAATGATATCCGTTCAGTATAAATATACTAAAAATGAGTACGCGATTTCATTTCAAGATCTAAAAACTCCTTAGAAAACAGACTCATATGGTTTTAGTTTTATTATATTATACATGCAAATATTAACTTTTGATTACTTTCATTTACCTAAGGCATTGCGTAATTAGCTCTCAATAGAACTAGGTTATTTTATCAAACAGTAAAGAAGATATTTCATAAGCTTCATTTTGCCCATTAATCAAAGTAACCAGCAAAATTCGTACCTGAATCCACTGATACCAAACACTATCCCCATTTGATCAGTGAAAAACAAAAGGAGCTAATGACAAAGATAATTATCTCTTTGATGACTGATCTTTATGGCTCTGCAATAGTAAATATACATTTAAATAAAATGGTAGTACGTATATTGATTGGCCTCTGGAGATTAACCAACTTCATGTTGCCTAGTCCTGAGTGCTGATCGAATTCTATTGATCAATTTTCAATGTGGCCATCAGTCTAGGTGGCATAGCAATACACTTTGATAGATGCTAGTTGAACTGAGGATAATATGTTCAAGGTACGTTTCTGTTGTGAGGTGAAACTTAGTCAATAGATGCATACAGAGGATGAAGTGGTTATTGCATAACACAAGAAATGGTCTAAATAACGCTCTAATAAAGTCACTAGTATCTGGTTCAAGTAAATACGTAGACACAAGCAAATAAAACACAAAAATGAAACAAATAGGTTCAGAGTATCTGTTTAAAGCCTTAATAAATACAGTTTATGTACATGTTTGTTTTATATACACAACTGGAGCTTGAATCTGTGAACTGTTAAACATTCGGCTTTACAAGTGTCGAATACCCTTTGCTTTTCGGAACGGTTTGAACCAAGTTTGAAGAAAATTTTGAACCAAGTTTCTAGAGAAGTCAAATATTCAGAGTTACGAGGTGTTGAGTAGTGACATGGAGACGGTATTGTCCTCACCCTAATATATATTTATATCAACTGTGAACGATTTGATAAAATTTCAAATGCTACCAGATATTTGATCAGTTTGTGCGACTCTGTTCCCTTCATCGTCAGCAAACAGTCTTCTGTTTAAAAATAGTAATTTTATAGATTACTTTTGGCCAAAAAATTCCAGTTTTTCATTTTATAAAAACTGATAGTTCACATTTACTGTTCTAAATCTTTTATCAGGCAAACCACTTCATTGCTGGGTACCGCAGGAATTCACTAGTTCATGGGAAGACTATGCAGAGAATATTTGTTGGGTGCAAAATACCTACTTTTTATTACCTAACGAAGCTATACCAGAGGACGATTTTGAAATGCTCAGGGTGCGACATATTTCCTATTACCAGTGGGTAGCTATCGTTCTTGCTGGACAAGCTATGATGGCGTGGATACCACATGTTTTTTGGCGTGTATGGTCAAAACGTGTGCCAGTATTACTGAGAAATGCGCGTGAAGCGGCTGTCCCAGATAAAGAGCTTCGGCATAAAGCAATCAGTTGTCTTGTTGCAGCACTAGAAGAAATTTCTGAAGCATCAAAACGCTATCGACGCGCACGGGGAGTATTTCATCGTTGTTTAGGTGGTACACCACCAACTACACGTATTACTTTAATATTTCTTGTTGTACGCATATGTTTTATCGCAAACAATGTGGGTCAAATTTATGTTATGAAACACTTTATTGGAACAAATGACACATTGTTTGGTTTACATGTATTCCAAGAACTACTTGTTGGCAGTGAGTGGGAAGTTAGTGGTTTGTTTCCACGTGTAACATATTGTGACGTGAAAGTCAGGAAATTGGGACAGTTGAAACCTGCATCGTAAGTTCAGTATTGCTTTTTTCATATTCACTTACGCTTTTAGTGTCAAAGTGATTCACATCTTACGTTTATTTTATAGATGAAATCTGTTCAGCACAGAACAAGGCAAGCATTTAACATATTTCTTATATTAGTGGAACTTACCTGTATTGGAACTGTAGCCGGCTGGATATAAGTCCTTAGTTTTGTTCATATAGATCCAGAAGTAGATTCGAAACCAGTTTCAAAGGTTATTTTAATCTTGAGTAAAGGAAGAATAACGATTGAAGCAAACTGGCATGCCAAAATTTTTTTCGGTTCCTTGTCAGCTGCTAATAACCTAAAACATTTAAATATTATATCATAAAGGAGTTCAAACAGTATTTTCGCAAAAAGGTGAAATCAATAAAAAACGAAATGATATAGTTCAGTAGGTAATACAAATATCTGGATAAAGTTAGCAAAACCTACTCAGATTTTTCACTTACATATGTGATTCAGCAGAGTTCGGGAAAAGAATATGGATAGTACCACAAGATTACGTAAGAAGGTCAACTAGTTGGCAGGTTGATGGTCGGTAACAGGTTGATAAAATAATATTATAATGAGTGAAACTGAGCTGGTAAAATGAACGAAACATTTTATACAAACAGAAAAACGTTAATTCTCAAGAATTATGTCATCAAATAAGAAGAGTAAAATATTAGGCTACCAGGTCAAAGTATGACTTAGCACAACTTTTCTGTGAACACAATTTCACTTTCAGTCGGTTGATCACTACAGCTTCATTGGCCTTCAGAAGGTTTGAACTAGCTGTTTTGCGACTCTCTTGGTAAATTCCCAGGTATTTACCACATCCCACGTCAAGAATATGCCGTGTACTTGAACTACAAAAATCATTTGGTTTCTTGAGACTTATGCCTTTTGGTAGGTGTACAAAGAGTCCAGGGTATTCCGTTCTAACTTTCCGCAGATGTATATGAACTTGTACACACGACCAGACGTACTGTGAGAAATGAAACTGCTGACCATTGATTGTGCCAAGAAGCTTCATGTTCTGCAAAGAGGAATCCAGTTGGCTGCAGGATATGTTCTGCTCAATGCAGATTTCGGCTTTTGGTTGATTCTCCTTGTGACCTCACCATTTCTGAAGCTGAGTTCAATACAGACTAACTTCTTGCTAACAGCTACTTTCCTTTGTTTATCCTTTCTAGATTTTCCACACTTATTGATTAACTTGTCTGAGTAACTGTTGTCTTACAGGGTATTTTAAATGCTCAGCTAATCTTCAAATTTGCCGCTAGAACATCCTTTTACCTCTATAAAATAGCACTTTGATTAATGCACTTTTATTCTGTAGTCGTTTGAAACCGAATGACTGGATCTGTTCATTGTAGATAAACTTGTACTTTTATGAGAATTTCGTTTCTCTAACAAGATTTATCGTCCTTGAGTATACCTGAGACATTCAATAGCACTGTCGTAATTGCCGCATTTAATGTACCCTAATAAGAGACCCGAAGTAACCTTTCTACTCAAACTAAGACTTGTTTCAAAACCTGGTTATAGTATTTGAGGTTTAAGTCTTTGTTTCCTGTTTTAGTTTCAAATCTTTGTAAGTGTTCACTGACAAAGTTATAAGTGGAGCTTTTATTGTTTGTCAGTACAAATATTCTTCCTTCATAATTAGCCTTTAGGTTAACCCGTCCGCTAATTCATTCATCTGTGTCACGATTTCTTGTTACTCCAACTTTCATACATTCATCTTCAAATTATTTCTTCTGCACATATATTGATCGTCAAGAATGATAAGTGAAGTCCTATATTGTGGTTAAGATACCTTTACTTTCTGCAATGTGAACTAGACAAAAACGCTTCATTGATGAAAAACCTTCTTCAGGCATTTATAAACCTTGGGATTAAAATAAATATTTCATCAGAAATAAACCCATTCCACTTAAAATAAACACGGTCAACATTTTTGAAGCCTTTATTTAATTTAATGGAAATCCATTTGTATCTACTTATACGTGGTCATATACCGAAATCTGAATAACCTAGAATCATCAAAATAACTCTACTTCATCGTATCCTGTTAACTGTTAGTCACTAAAACTTATTTTATCCTTCCAAACATTCAATATTTATCAAGCTCCAATCAAAATAGCACATTAACTGCTTGTGCATTTAGGGCGCAGAATGCCTTGTCGGACTTTAAGAAGATGAAATTGATGAGGTCATGAACTTATGTCATCATACTTACGCTTTTTTACTTAAATCTAATTGTTTTTTTTCCATTATCTGAAGGCAAATGAAATTGATCATTTAGAAAATGGTCCCTGTCACTAAGTTAGTGCCCCATTTGATAAACATCAGATACAGCATGCAGTAAATTTGTTCGTCAACAACTTGAACACTATATTCAACTGTACAATGGTATTGCATCGTTCACTTGAAGAACGTTATGTCATTAATCATCTAAATTATAACCTATCGTTCACCAATAACTGAAGAAGAAAAGTTCATTTTATTCACTCTTCTGTCAGATAGGCATGATATGTTGTAAAATTCGGGTTAAGAATGTAATTAATTCCTTACTGCTTAAAGAGTTAAATAAAGCTGGAAAACATCAGTGACATGTTTCCTAAGTAGCCGGCAACCCGAGGCTTGTTTACTGTCACCCTAAATTTTTGTGTTATTGCTCTTGTATGTTACAATATTTGGGATCAATGAAAAATAGATAAGTAGGGCAAAATACAAATTTTCTAGGGGGTTTTTCCATTTGATTTCAACCCTAAAGTAAAACAGTAATGTAGTTAACAATGTCCCAGAACTATTTGAAAATAGTCCTTCTTAACTTTGTCTAGTTAATTTGCAGCTTTCAGTGACCAATTTACTTCAACAATGAGTTTCTTTTGAAGATTTTATGATGTACTTTTCGGTAGCATATACTATACACAACCTTTTTAACTATTTACGAATATCCATACATCTGTTATATTTAAAGATTCGGGATTCGGCTTGAAAAACCCAAAATGAGTAATGCTCTATTCGTAGCTGAATGATTACTGTATTCTAGTGAAAAGTGCCTATATTAGTCTGACAGAATCAACCATGTAACAGATGGCTCATTGTGCACAGAAATTCAACATCTAAAGGAAAACATTTCCCCTGATATGTATTTTCTTCGTAACCAACTAATTTATGTAGCAGATCAAATCATTCACTGGCACATTATTGTCTTGTTTTGAAATTATATAACTCTACATGGTACTGATGTTCTTTTAATCTATCTAGCAATTTTTTTGTCTTTGTAATATATACACAAAATTTTTCATTGACCAACCTGATCCCACTGCTTTGAACAACAGGCTTCTTTATTAAAATGTATTAAACATTTTCAAACTATTTTCTACTAATTTCACTTCTACATGCATATTAATACTAAAAATATAATCGACCTTACTGACGTTTCTTTCACATTGACTGATAAAAATTCCTGTACTTTTCTGTCAGGGACACAGATTTTTATCCTCTTATCCTTGTACTCTCTAAATTTCCCTACTTGAATTGATGGTTGAGGATAAATCATCGAGTTCAAACTTTTTACATCATGCCTTCAACGCCTTTATTTATCTGACATGCATCTAATTACTTATCTATAGATGAAGGTATAAACTGAAGCGAATCAGAGCACAAACTGCTATCAGGAAAAAAATCAGAAAAAGATAAAACTAAGATAATTGTTTTCCTTTCTGTATCATACTGCCTGTTTGGCAAAGATTTCTGTCTTATCATACATCAAACCGACTATATTGTTGAAAGACTAAATTGTGATAATAGTAGTAACAACAATAATAATCATCTCTCTAGTTCATCTTACAATCATAATTAGAGGTAAGAAATTCAAGGTCATTCTAGCTTTATTTAATCAAATAAAACTACTATCGTTTAAAAACATTGCTTGACATTATATACTGCTTTCATGATCGTTGGGTAGTACTGCTTGTTTAATATTTTTGAAGTTTTCTGCAACTTTGCAAATGAAAACCTTTCAGTCGGTAGTTTCTCGAAAACTACTGTGCCAGACGTCACTGATGAACATTCCTTCCTGCGTCTCAGTTGTCTCGTTTCCTACAATTCGTGTCGCTGCTTCTGCATGCGATGCAGATTCCATGGGCTGCAGTTTTTGAGGATAGAGATATCAGTATCATCCACAGGGACTTCGAGTCAGTCGTGCAGCTGGTGATTGTCCGGGATCCAGGATCGAAGGTTGTGGTGCTTGGTACGTTGCTGAGGAATAGGGCGAATGCAGCATATGCTGACGTGGAACACGTGGATAGGAAGTAGACTTGAAAGAAAATGGTTGAGCGCCTGGAGGAGGGGTTTGACAGCCCAGCGGACAGGGAGCTAGTGAATCAGCAGTTCAGGAGGTCAAAACTTGGAACAGAAGAAGATCCGCTGGTATTGGCTGTTTATTTGACAAAAATACTTTGAGTGAGGAGTCCTACGCGCAGTTGCTGGCTGCACAGTTCGCCGAAAGTGTCCTGAATTCCATCGTCCAGCATATACGACTAGTAAAAGCCACCCGACCAATGGATATTAGTGAACTGGCGAAGGTGACCAGGCGGCTAATGAGCACGGCATTAGCTGCAGTGGAGTCACCAGAGGTAAATAACCGGGGAAAACAGGTCGATAACCTTCCGGAGGATGTGGCTGCACTTCGAATGAATGTCAACAGACAGAGTAAACGCTTTGCATGCGGAAAACTGGGACACTGACGAAGAAGCGGTCAGGAGAGGCAAAAATAAAAGTTTAGAATGGTAATTTGCTTGGTTGTGGCTAGCAGGAGAATCCAGAATGCGCGTTTCGTCCTATTTAAGACTAGTTAGCTGAATCTACCGGTATCTGAGTGAGTGATGTTGTTCCCACTGAGACTCGAAACTCGTACCCATCGCCTCTTTTGCTAGCCACAACCAAACAAATCACCATAATTGATACTCAGGCAATATCGAGTAATC